CATAAGGAAGACGAATCTGGGAAAAATTTCCGGACCTGCCGAGCGCAAATGGATAATCTCCAGGAATGACTATCGAAGAGATAATTATTCGTTGAATAATTTTCCCTTGGTCAAACGTGCCCAGTCTTGTTAACAATGCATTGTTGAAGGTAAGTAATGGCTGATTAAGCAGCTTGCATGCAGGCGGCCTGAAACTTATACCAAAAACCTCTTGAAGAACTGCGCGTCTATTTCTGAAAACTCCTTTCAGCCGTCATTAGCCTTTGCAGCGAGAGCTCCTCTTAGAGAGCGCGGCGGGCATGGTGGGGAGGTCTAATGATCAGGCATAATGTGATTATCCTGGTGATTGTATTTTTGCGTCAAAACCAGCTGTCTGCACGCATGCACGACAGATGTGTGCAGATGCAGCAGTTTCAAGGCTCACCATCGCGGGGCTTCGGTCGCCACCTACGGTTGCGCCATTGAACATCGCCGACTAGCGCTTGAAACCTCTGCCATGAGCGACCTTACCATGACCTTGCATGCCAAGCCATCCGTCACCGGGAATCCTGATTTAGCCGACCAGATGGAGTAGAATTATCCCATAATTCGACATACTTACGTGACGGGCCACACGCCACAAGCTATCTCTCGCAAAAAAAAACTCTGTGATCGCGGCGTCACTCGAATGGCATCTATCCCAGCGGCTACATTTGTCAGTAATTGCCAGTCAACTGGAACATGGGAAGAGGAGGGGGGAGGTGGGGGCAAGGAGGTCGACATAGAACGCATTGGGGGAAACGCATTGCCGTCAGATGGTGACAGCATCACGCAGCTCTGACGTCACCGCCTTCCAGGCCTGCCACTTGTGTAACCGTGCCCCGATGACCCAATTTCAATAAGAGAAGTTGAGATGTGTGCAGACTAAAACTACGCTCAGCGAAGTTTTTGTTCATTTATGCCTTATGTATGCTGGTTATGTTGGAGCATTTCTAGCGTAATGTGAACAAACGTTTCCGTTTCCATAGGCAATTAATCGAAATCCCGTATAATTTAACGAAGAAGAGCATCACATGTTCTGCTTGATCCAGAGCGGTTCGACAGCTAACATAAAGTTCATCTACATGAAAATGGTGTTTTTGCACCAAGAAACCCCCAGTGCTTCCAAGGCAACTCATTTCCAGCGCTCCCTTAAAGGCCGCTGTTGGAATGTGCTAGGTGACCACAGCGAGCACAAATCAGCCACGCTATTTTTCGCCGCTTAGCCGGTCATGTGCGGGAGGCAGCTGATTGGTGGGACTGCTGCGCGGGGGATGCGGGGGGCAGATAATTGGTGGAACTGCTGCGCGGAGGATGCGGAGAAGGCAGCTGATTGGTGGAACTGCTGCGCGGAGGATGGGGAAAGGCAGCTGGTTGGCGGAACTGCTGCGCGGAGGATGCGGGGAAGGCAGCTGATTGTTGGGACTGCTGCGGGGAGAATGCGCGGGGGTCTGACCTGAAGCCATTTACACATGAAATTGGTAATGCCATTGTCAGAAAAGGCTGTGACGTTTGCTCAATTCCTTGCTCCTGAATGTACAAAGACGGCGAATGTTTGCTCGGTAGAAATCTGGAGCGGAGTTCAGAGTTAGGCTTTATTGAGCGGTTCAGTCAATGTTTATGGGTGCCTAGAATCCCAGGCGCGTAGAAAGTACATCATTTCGTTACCAGTAATTGTACTGCTACGCCCTCCCACATAACTACTAATTCTTTAAGTGGCTGCCATGTAGATGATACGCACTTCACTTGTCAAAAACGCTAATTTAACAGCACGATGCGCATGTTTTTAAACCACAAGCTCTCTCTTCTCCGGAGTCCCGTCCGTCCGTGGGATGCAAAGGGACTCGAACACACGTGCACATGCGGCTGATTTCACATCTCGGTGAAGCAAAGGAAGCATCAAACGAGGGAGCAATCTCCTTGAATCTCTGGCTCGTCTCACTGCCTTTCTCCGCAGAGCGGCAGCGACAGTGGACGGGTCGGTGGGGTGGTGACCTGTAGCTTGTTTGGCATCGAGGCTCTGACGACACGAAACGCGGCGCGATCGGCCGGGGGTGTGACCTTTCCGGGGCGAAGAAAGCCGCCCCGCCGCGGCCCGTCCCGCGATGGGCACTTACTGAGATGGGAGGAGAAGTTGCCGCGGTGGTAACTACCAGGACGAGAAAGCTTCCCTGAACGTCGTAGTCGCCCGTCAAGTCGACCTCTGGCACGCTGAGGTCAAACGCCACCGTGCGCTCTACCGGGTTCCACGCTGGGGCAGAGGAACACACTGATCGTCAGGGGGCAGACCAGGCCCACGTGGGGCAGGGGAACACAGGGTCGTCAGGGGTGCAGACCAGGTCCACGCTGGGGCAGGGGAACACAGGGTCGTCAGGGGTGCAGACCAGGCCCACGCTGGGGCAGGGGAATACAGGATTCGTCAGGGGTTGCAGACCAGGTCCACGCTGGGGCAGGGGAACACAGGGTCGTCAGGGTGCAGACCAGGCCCAACGCTGGGGCAGGGGAACACAGGACCTTCAGAAGTGCAGACCGAGGCCAGGAGTTTATAACGCCGAGCAGGGCTAGCATCCGACGCTGACAGCCCGCACCGGCGGCCATGTCTGCACGCAGAGGAACAAACAGGCGCGAGCACAAACAAGCGGAGAAGCTGAGTAATGCGACAACGGCTAATAACAATCACAAGCATTAAAAGGCATCCTGTTAGCTTGTCCCGGCATTGAAAAGCCGTCTGATAAGGCTGTCTGAACAAACCTGTCGACACAATATTGGCGTTGGAATCGGAGACGCGGAGGTGAATGGGACGGTTACGTTTCTCTTTGCACGGGGGGGGGGGGGGGGGCACAGCTGGGTGCGGTTGAGCTGGCTCACTCAAGGCTGCGCAGTTCGAAAGAGGATAATCCGTGCACGATCACGTTGGAGTATTTGGCGTCCATTCCGTCCCGTGAGAGAAGACGAGCTCATCCAGCACCAGCGGGTCGCCGGGTGGAACGTTGTTTTCTGGTATCCCTGCCAACGAAAAACAAACTATTGCCGAACGACGCCAATCACTCAGATGTGCCATTGCCTAATTATGTTAGACGGGCACGATCAAATGCAGCGCCGCGCGGGGTAAAGAAAAATAAGGGATGAATTTCCCTGAGCTATCATAGGGTAGCGAGTTGAAAGGTCTGCTGAATAGATGTTGCAAATTTTTAAGGAGAATGCGTCGCAACTTGCTATGGATTTGCTTCAAACGATTCATTGCGCAGAGCCCGGTGATGTGTACATGTTCGTTCAAAGTATATATGGCTGAAAAGTATGAATCGGTGCATAGAATGTGCGTGTTTTGACGGACACAGATACGCTGAAGCTTATCTGCGTGTGCCTGTTTTAAGATGGCACTAAGAACAAGGAATCTCTGGTCTAGCTATCTAAATTTACGTGAAAAAATAACAGATTCATATACGCTATTCTGTTGTACCCCTTATTGATAAACTCGCATGCCTACCCACCAACCACAAAACTGTATGTCGGGACGTGTTCCCTTCCTATCAGTTGGGGCGTCCCATCCACCAGCGCTGGGAGCAAAGCGGGTCAAATATGGCGTGCATCCCGTTTTTGTACATTTGGGAGTCATCTGAGCCATTTCCTCGCTCAGTCCGAAAACTTATTCTGGAAAACTACACCCCTGAGTGTAAGCGATTTGACAGGGCAGAGGACGTAGCTCATCTTGTAATTGTTTCAGCTGAAAAGGATGCCAGAAGTATCAGGGATATTTGGTGCTCATTTCATAAACCGCTTTATGGGTTATCATCAAATGCGCTTGGTTGGTTGCCAGCAATTGTGGAAGACAAACAGTCTGTTAGTGATGTTGTCCGTCACTCTTATCACGATATCGCGTGACACAGAGGTAAGGCGTTCAACCATAGTGTAACATAGGACATTTTGACTACACTATGGTTCAACCACCTTCCAAAGCGCAAAGCAACACATATGTCACCATATTCAGCTGACTGCAGTTACTGCCAATAATTCCAGTTACGGACATTACCCTGAATACGTAGCCAATTTTACGACATTTTCAACATTTGTGGACTTCAATCGTTTTTTTTGCGTTGACAGTCGGGCAATGTTTCCATTTTCCAACAAAATGGCAAAACAGAACATTTCCATAAAATGCCTGGCAGGTTTTCAGTAAACATTAAGAAGGAAATGCATAAGCAAGGTATACACCCACATAACGATTATCAAAACAAGCGCCTTACGGGCCTACATATGCACACACGGACTTACACGACTCAGTTACACACCTGTTCTGAAGAACGGCCGCAGCTTTTCAAGGCCATTGGCCAGGCAGTTACTCAGGGCCACCCGGTCGTCGATGGGGCACTGGTCATCTGTCGAGAGCTGCCCACCTGTCGGTAAACATGCTGCATCAGACACACTGAACGTCTCCGAGCCGCGTGGACCGAGCTCAACACAGACATTGCACAGGTACGGTCTTACGAGCACGCACGTGCCTGAACCTTATTCCGGGTGATACAGAAGAGTGACACTCCAGGAGTATCTCGCTCAATGATATCGGTACCCAAATGCGTTGGCGCCCTAAATGCATGAGCGTAGGTATACTCTTTCCCTCGCCGGGCGGGAAATATTGCCAGTGATGCGCCGGCTCAAGGGGTGGCAGGACCACCTTGCCTTTTATCCCTTAATGGAGCTGAATGAAGGACAAATTAGTGAATATGCTGGTAGGTAATAAATCAGACGGTGTCCAACATGCCACCTTGATTTAATCGGTGACCCGCAGATCATGCCAGACTAGTGCTCAAGAACACAAACACTTTCCTGGACAAAATTAGGCACCAAATCACATTTAAAATCGGATTCAGTGTAAAAGTGGTCTAGTGAGATCAATACTAAGCAAGCTCACCATATTCCACCGACCACAACACATCAGGAATAGTGATTGTTAAATGTCAAAACCAGGCAGCATATTTAACACTTGACAGTCGCCGTTTACGCTACCAATAATTATTTATATCCTCGTGTCATCTATAGATGACATAGATGATGTATAGGACACGTATGAGCATATGGAAAAAACCTATTCACACTCATAAAGAGCATCTGCGAATCAACATTCAATTTCAAAACATACTTGTTAACGTGCGTTGTGTTTCCATAAAACCACTCACGTTCTTCATCTTTTTTCCCGTTAAGTCATCCTTGGTTCCTGTCTTAGTTGGTTCTCAACCTTGGGTTAACGCTAGCGTAATGACACAAAACTTCGGCAACAATGCCGCACTAATACCACACTAATGCCACAAAAGCGTATGGCCGCGTGTAATTGGGGTTTTGCGGGCGCGCCAACGGCTAACATCGTTGCGAGTGCATGATGTTAAGTGATCACAAGCCGCACTGGGCAGCACACTAACATTGCATGCGACTCGAGAGTGCAGCCGGCAGATCTGTGAACGTGGGAAGCCCAGTGAGATTCCCGGCTGCATCTTTGACGACAGGGCGCCGGCGCAGCCACACCAGCCGCCGCACTTCATAGGAGGCTACGTGACGAAGTGCGCCGCTCGTCTGCTTATGCACAGAGGCTTTGCATACACAGCGGCACGCCGGGCCAAACATGACAGACGAGCTTCACTTCTTATCATCGACTGGAAGCCGGCGTCATTTAAGCTGAAGTTTGACAACCAACGTACATATCTAGATAAACTATGGGATGGGTTTGAGTCTGGTTGCAAACACAGTTTTCGCAAAGCGTTGCTCAATGTCTCAGATTCCCCGTCTGCAACGACTCCCTTGATCACCACTATCAACCAGGATTGTCTTCACCAGCATTTTCCCCCACTTGCTGCAACGTATCTACTCATTTTGAGTTTCACACCAAATAGACCTTGTAATAACGGACATAAGAGCTTAAAACTCATTATTTCTATAAGAATATGTTGTCAATAACGTTCTAATCCAGCAGGTTCGCGGCTTACGGTCTTGCAATTAAGGCCTCCGTGTGCTTCGCTTCAGTCAGGCTGAGAAGCGCAACGCCTTACCACCCACACATGCCGACAAATCCGTTGGCTTTCGATCGGGTCAGGCCGTTGGCTGACGGATGGCCGCCCACCGTACTTCAAGTGAAATAGTGCTGTTAACCGCTTTGATGAGGCTTTCACACCTCAAATTTGAACTGAAGGCTTACTTATAGCATGCATTGGCTGATCCAGCCGAACATCCTGGTTTCCCGGTGTGTTCATGCGTACGGTTTCGTGGTATCTTCGCGGAGATAGCATCCACACTTGAGATGCCTTCGGCTCTTATGACCCTACTTTATTACTTCTAAAATGTCCGGAAGATTTCGACTTGTCAAAGATCGTTACGTAAAGGGGCTCAAATTAAATGCCACCAAAACTTAAAGCAATACCATTGGAGGTATTTCGGATTAGGCACCGATCCGTCCGCCTATACCGCATCCGTCTTAGTGGCTTAACCGGGCGTCTATCGGTCAGTCCTCTCGTCAGCCCCTAAATCTGAGTGATGAAGCGCCTACCTACTGCAGAGGTATAACTACCCGCCGTGTCCTTTCGCTCGAGTGGTTTCTTCTTCCGTCCGCCTGTTACGGTTACGCTGTTGTTTGTTGCAGTTTACCCTCGTACCGTCCGCTCGCTCTCACCGGCATCACTTGTTGTTTTGCAGTTACCCTCGTACCGTCCGCTCTCAACCGGCATCACTTGTTGTTGCAGTTACCCTCGTACCGTCTGCTCTCAACCGGCATCACTTGTTGTTGCAGTACCCTCGTACCGTCTGCTCTCACCGGCATCACTTGTTTGTTTACAGTTTACCCTCGTACCGTCTGCTCTCACCGGCAATCACTTGTTGTTACAGTTACCCTCGTACCGTCTGCTCTCACCGGCATCACTTCCCCGTGCGGCCCCGGGTCGGACGGTACCCTGCGCCGGCGGATTTCATACCACTTCTGCCTCCTGCGAGGTCTTTCTCCGAAGCCGAGCAGATCGGACGCACTTCTCTCCCGGCGCGCTGGCGCTCCAGGAATGCGCGGAAACCGACTGATCACCGCCAGCCCGTTCACGATTCTGATCATGAAGGCGGCGCTTATCGCACAGCCGGTGTCATGACGCCGCCGGCCGACGAGAGTGCAACAACAGTACTTTCTACGGCTGCCCGAATGGGCGCAGCGGTGAGTGGCAACTGGCTCAAATACGGCTGCGGTCTGAGAACGTCAGTGTTTCGGTGCATCACAGTGGCCGGGGCGCTTCGTGATTGGAAAACGGTCAGATCAAAGCAAAACGAGCATAACTACGTCTTTGGTGAAAGATCCGTGATCATTGGCCGACCAGTCCGCTATCAGCTCATCTGCCGGATAATGCCGCTGACCGACACCTCCCCAGCTCATCCCTCGCCCATCGGCCGCGCCTCCCGCTTTGCCGTAAGCTACGCCAGCGCCGCCGAGAACCTGCCACCTGTCACGAGAAGGCGGCTGAGAACCTATCACCTGTCACGAGAAGGCGGCTGAGAACCTATCACGAGAACTGGCCCCGATCAGACGGCTGATGACCGCTCTGCGAGGAGGCACCATCGCGCCTTACGGAGTGTGATGCGGCGGGCTGTCTTCCGACCGGTGCTTAACCGCTGTTGGAAGCTGGCCGAACATGCCGGCTCCGCGAATTTCGGTCCTTTTTTTGCTGAGGCAGCCAACATTGTATGGAATTAAAGACTGTTATCTATCTGCGGCATGACTTTTTGACAGCTTGGTGTCAGCACTAAAAGGCAAGTCAGTCTTTTAACACCTTTCCTGATAATTCTACCCCGGTTGCGTGTACACCAAAACAGAAATTCAGGAGCCACGTGGCAGAAGCCGTCTGCGAAGGTTGACAAATCGAGCTAGGTGAAACGAGGTTGAAACATATTTTTGCACTCCTTTCACATCGGTTTTGAAGTGCCCTAGATTAAAACTAGTTCTAGTTCAATCACGTCACCCCCCTTGTACAACGTGAAATCATCCAAGGTTATGCCACGAACTTCCATACTCTTGAGCCTAGATAACATTGCAACAGCATGGTCAACTTAGCGCGGTGAAAGGTCACAAGGTAGGAGGTCAACTTTGAGGATATCCATGTATCGACCCCAATTTAAGCCGCAATATCTGGTGCTAAATGAACTGGTGACATTGCTGCAAAAGAACGACCACCCAATTAGTTCCATCATGCAACAGCTATCCAAAGTTCAAATGGCAATAACCTAACATTTGCCTCCAGAAATCCAAGCTTGGTTCGAGTCACTTCCATGCATTATATGACGACACTTGGGGAAAACCGCTATGTCTGTAAACCTGTCATAGCAATGGGAAAGCCTGGCGTGCAGCGGGACTCCCGTGCCGCGTGCGGCGGGACTCCTGTGCCGCGTGCAGGGAGACTCCCGTACCCCGTGCAGCGGGACTCCTATAACCGCGTGGGATGGAGACTCCCGTGCCGCGTGCAGTGGGACTCACGTGCCGCGTGCAGGGAGACTCCCGTACCCCCGTGGAGCGAGACTCCCGTACCGCGCACCTGCCGCGTGCGGCGGGACTCACCTGCCGCGTGCAGCGAGACCAGGCCGAGCAGCGCCGCAGCCGCCAGCCGCCGAGCCAACCGCCATCACGGTAGAAAGTGAAATCGGCTGTGAGCGGGTCGGAGGTCGCAGCCAGCCTTTATCGGCCAAGCCGCAGCGCCAAGGCCGCCTCTCATTGGCGGCTGCGCGGCGCCGGCGGCGACCCGGGACCTCTCCGGACTGGCGCGGCCGGCCGCCGCAGCAACCGACGGCCTGGCACGAACACGGCGGAGCGACCAGGAGGCTCGGAGGGCGGGGGGGATGGCGCTGCTGTTCGTGGTGTGCTTCCCATGAGTGTGGTGATGGCGTGCCAGGGTCGGCGAGCGATGGGCAAGCCTGTCCGCTGCTAGCTACTGGTGGCGCCATCAAGAGTTTCCCTTGAGCTCATCTGCTTGGAGAGTGCGAGTTTTCGAGCGAAACTGCTCCTTAGGTCATTTCGCGCGTCTAAGCTCGCGCACGCTTGGAACGTTTCGCTTGGAAAGTGGGAGTTGTCAAGCGCATTTGCTTCTTGGGTCATTTCGCCCATCTAAGCTCATGCACGCTGGGAACGTGCAAATCTTCCGAGAGAGCTCAAGATAAATCAGAATGCAAACAGAAGTGCCACGCATAGTTTGTGGCGCTATTTGTGCCTCCGGGCTGTCCCGTGACACGATGGCCTTGATGTGACCTGACGGAACATCCGTGACTGTGAACTGTCGTGACTTGAAACACGTGTACCATGTCCGCTGCTCTTGTGGGTGGCCCAGCTTAGTAAGCTATATATGCTCCATCAACGCCAGGAAGACTGAACCTTGGATCTTGAAAGGGCCTCACAAATGCGTCCGGGTTCAAGAAGGCTTCTCATTAGGTGCGAAAAGACAGCCATAGTTTAAGGTATGCCTAACCGCAACCTCGCATAACAAATAGGAGCATGTCATGCACTGGCATATTTTAAACACACACACACACACACACACACACACACACACACACACACACACACACACACATATATATATATATATATATATATATATATATATATATATATATATATATATATATATATATATATATATATGGTACTGCTGGACACAATTTTTCCTGGCTGAGCTTTTCACCCATCGTTCATCGACATTTAAAATGTTGCCAAATGGTCTAGTTCAGATAGTCGACGAAGGAAGAGCTGTGCGTGGAAGGGTTAAACGACACACACAAATGCCAACTGATAAGTAATATGCATTTTTAAAAACATTTGACCAATAGGACGGCCACAGGCAGCGCAATACAATTGCTCATGGCCAAGAAACTTTCCAATAGGTTCTAAAACATCCTTTGCACGCACGCGCAGGCCTCGAGCCTCCGGCCCTCAGACGACTGAGCCGACAGACAGCAGGTCTCGAGTCTCCGGCCCTCAGACGACTGAGCCGACAGGCAGCAGGTCTCGAGCCTCCGGCCCTCAGACGACTGAGCCGACAGACAGCAGGTCTCGAGCCTCCGGCCCTCAGACGACTGAGCCGACAGGCAGCAGGTCTCGAGTCTCCGTCCCTCAGACGACTGAGCCGACAGACAGCAGGTCTCGAGCCTCCGGCCCTCAGACGACTGAGCCGACAGACAGCAGGTCTCGAGCCTCCAGCCCTCAGACGACTGAGCCGACAGACAGCAGGTCTCGGGGCCCTCCGTCCTCATACGACTGAGCCGACAGGCAGCAGATCTCGAGCCTCCGTCCCTCAGACTACTGAGCCGACAGACAGCAGGTCTCGAGCCTCCGGCCCTCAGACGACTGAGCCGACAGACAGCAGGTCTCGGGCCTCCGGCCCTCAGACGACTGAGCCGACAGACAGCAGATCTCGAGCCTCCGGCCCTCAGACGACTGAGCCGACAGACAGCAGGTCTCGGGCCTCCGGCCCTCAGACGACTGAGCCGACAGACAGCAGGTCTCGAGCCTCCGTCCCTCAGATGACTGAGCCGACAGACAGCAGGTCTCGAGCCTCCGGCCCTCAGACGACTGAGCCGACAGACAGCAGATCTCGAGCCTTCCGTCCCTCAGACGACTGAGCCGACAGACAGCAGGTCTCGAGCCTCCGTCCCTCAGACGACTGAGCCGACAGACAGCAGGTCTCGGGCCTCCGGCCCTCAGACGACTGAGCCGACAGGCAGCAGATCTCGAGCCTCCGGCCCTCAGGCGACTGAGCCGACAGACAGCAGGTCTCGGGCCTCCGGCCCTCAGACGACTGAGCCGACAGACAGCAGATCTCGAGCCTCCGGCCCTCAGACGACTGAGCCGACAGGCAGCAGGTCCGGCCCTCAGACGATTGAGCCGACAGACAGCTCTCGCGCATCAGATGCCACTTGGCCGACAGTTTCAGCAGCGTATATCTCCTGCACTCTGTGCTGAGCAGGCGCAGCACGGCTGCGCGTGCCCAGCACGCGCCCAGCACAGCACATTCCGTTAGAAGATTGCCAGCAGGTCAACGGGCTGGCGGGTGCGAGGCGCCGTGCCGTGGTGACACTGACCCAGCCGTGGTTAACGACGCTTTTTGAACCACTGCGATCTTTAAGATCATTAGATCATTGCGGTCGGGAGGGGTTCCAGTGGTGGTGTGCTCAGAGAGTTTGCACTGTAGGCACACTAGGTAGCTTATCATGCGTGCTCGAGTGGCGAAATGGCGGTGTTTTGTTGTGGCAAGAAGGGAAGATAGCTGGGCGACCGATTCGGGTCGATATCTAAAGATAACAGGCTGATGCGGGTGAGGCTTTACAGTCATTTTCAAGAGACCTTACCTTCCTCTCCCAATGTACAAAAACAGATCGCTGAATGCAATAATACTATGCAATACCAGCATGATCTCCATGTGTATTGTAATCCAACCACACATGGCGCACACCCCAAACTCTCCTAATGAGTTTCGTGAGATACCGAGTATGCTGGACGCTGAGGCGTGCGCTGCGCGTGCACAAGCGGTGCTTCTTATTTTCAATGTCACACATCGGGTCACTGTGAGATGGGAAGACTACTGACCCATTCGTTTGTCTTACTGCGGTCTGGAGAAGGAGCACAAGGTGTGTGCCAGTCTTGCGCGGCTCCAGTATTGGATGGACTATGTCGGCGACGTGCCAGTCTTGCGTGGCTCCAGTATTGGGTGGACTATATCGGCGACGTGCCAGTCTTGCGTGGCTCCAGTATTGGATGGACTATGTCGGCGACGTGCCAGGCTTGCGTGGCTCCAGTATTGGATGGACTATGTCGGCGGCGTGCCGGTCTTGCGCGGCTCCAGTATTGTATGGACTATGTCGGCGGCGTGCCAGTCTTGCGTGGCTCCAATATTGGATGGACTATGTCGGCGACGTGCCAGTCTTGCGCGGCTCCAGTATTGGATGGACTATGTCGGCGGCGTGCCAGTCTTTGCGTGGCTCCAGTATTGGATGGACTATGTCGGCGGCGTGCCAGTCTTGCGTGGCTCCAATATTGGATGGACTATGTCGGCGACGTGCCAGTCTTGCGCGGCTCCAGTATTGGATGGACTATGTCGGCGACGTGCCAGTCTTGCGTGGCTCCAGTATTGGATGGACTATGTCTATGATTGCGATGGGGTGAGCTCGGACTCTAAATTTGAGCAATCACGCGCTGGTTTTGAATTGTATGAGGACTGGCGCACCAATGTGCATTGCTTAACTCACGGCGGCTATCGCATGTTTGCCGTATCCCTGTTATGACCTCGTCCCCTTACTGCTGGTTGGGGCAATACATTGAGGCATGTTATCGCTGTTTATGGACACCCAGACAGCTGGAACATCGGTATGTTGATATTGTGCCGATATTCAAGCTGTATTGTATCGACATTATTGCGTTCATACCTTGATGTTACCAAAAAAGATGATGTAAGCTATGGTATGCCCATTGAAAATATGCACACTCCACTTCTAGTTCCAAAAGTTAGCGTGTGCTCGCCACAGTTGCAGGCTTCTTGTTGGCGCGGTAAATAATGAGGTACTCCTTCTCCAAAGTACTCCTATCTAGAAGGTCGGGTACCGTGCTGGTACGCAGCGTCAATAGACCCAGCTGAAAAATAAAGTTTGGTAAAATTTATTCTTCGCTACAGAACAAAGGCTGGAAAAACGTGAAATCATCCCGCCAACGAAAAGGCCGTTTGAAAAGAGTGCATGATATTTCTGTCATAGTTAACACCGAATTTGTTTCCATACGGTGCCACAAAGATTCCATCAAACCGAAAGGTGACAATCATACTTTTTCTAATGCGGCATGCATGCGGCACTTGGCTGTCCCAGCGCCGAAATTTGTCTCCGGGCATTGTCAACATCTGTCATCAACCATGCTCGCTGAGATGAAAACATATTCAACCTCTGCAGTAGTCACTCGCGTTCTGAAGACGATCGGAGGTAGTGCATTGCATCACAACTGCATGCAACATAAACAGCGTAAGGGCCACCGCGGAAGCCCCTGGCACATCCGAGCCATGGAGGCGCTGACGTTGCCACCGCAAGTGACAAGGTCACGCCCTCCCGTCACCAGCCGAGCGCCCCCAAGGACGGGGCGTGTGATCCCGTCACCTTGCCACATGCTATGGAGATTGTATTCGAAGAACGGACTCGTCACCAGCCGCATTGCTACGGTGCCGAGCTAGCGAGCCACGCGCGGCACGCGGCTGGCGACGAGCGAGACGCTGCCAGACGGCGCGAACCACTGATGAAGGCGGACTGCCGACGCTCATCATGACGAGAAATGAAGCTTTCAGTCAGTGCGGTAGAGCACAGCAGCCCAGGCATTACAAACCTGTGGTTCGGTTTCGCACGTCCAGCCGTCGTTACGGCATGGCAGTGCAAACGTAAGCATATGTCCTACGAGACGTGCTCCGTGCAACTAAAGGCCGTCCACGTGCTCTTGGGAGCGTCCTGCAGTCACGCGCCGTCGCTATCTCTGCACAGATGCGTACCGGAACAAACGGAGGTCTACTACCAGCACTGACAGAAAACTGACCTCCAAACTACCTGAAAGGGAGATTTTGGAACACCATAAAGATAACCATCACGCCGTCCGGCATGAGCCCGGCGTGAT